AGGGTGTCTTAACCTCTTGTGCCTCAGTTTCATCATCTGCAAGGTGGGGATGTTCTTAATAGGACTTAATCGAGAGGGCACTTGCATATATCAGGGGTTCTCAATCCCAGGACCAGTCTGTGGCCAGTTAGGAATTGGCCTGCAATTGCCAAGTGACCAGTGATGAGCAAGTAAAACGAGCAGTGAGTGAGCAAGTAAGACTTCATCTGTATTTACACCTGTCCCCCAGAACTCCCATCACTGCCTGCATTCCACCTCCTGTCAGATAAGCAATGGCATTAGATTCTCATAGGAGCTTGAGTTCTACTGTGAACTATGCATGCAAAGGATTTAGGTTGTGTGCTCCTTATGAGAATCTAATGCTTGATGATCTGAGGTGGAGCTGAGGCAGTGATGCTAGTGCTGGGGAATGTAATTATTATATATCACAATCATATACTAATAAAAAAAGAACCTAAACTCCCATTCATGAAAAATTATATTCCACCAAGCTGGTCTCTGGTGCCATAAAGGTTGGCAACTGCTGGTGTACAATGGTGCTCAGGATGTCATAACTGCTCAATAAATAATACTAGGTATTATTATTACTTATGTCACATTAGCTATTTCCAATCATCAGGGAGGGATAGGGTCATGCTGAGAGGTTGGAGGTGCCTTCTGATAACCTTGAAGCTTCCTGAGAGAGGGGAGGTAAGGAATTTCCCTGGGTTCCAAGCCCTCACTAGATATTTATTGGCTACCTCTTTGTATAGAGCACCACTGGAAATACAAGGATGACTGCAGAGAATCTTCGATCTAAAAGTCTCAGATCTAGAAAGGGAGAAAGGCCATGCTGCCTGAGAAAGGGTGATGAAAGATTCATTCTGAGTGCTTGAGCTAGAGAAGGAGTATAACCCAGCCAGGAGGGCAAAGAGGATGCCAACAGGTGATCTCTGCAGGACCAGGTACTAACAGGAAGTGGCAGAAGACAGTGTGGAGGAGTGAGCAGGACTTAGGTTGTAACGAAATCTACAAATCTGACACTGATTCCTCAGAACTGTTAATCAGCTAAGTGACAAGAGGCTCAACAGCTGTGCTTAGCACCTTCCCCGCAGGTAGCACCCCTCTGGGTACAGAGCAGCACCCAACCCCTGTGAAGCCAGTGGCCCTGGGAGGCCCAGCCCCTGTGCTCACGATGCCATGGGAAACCTGGGAAACCAAGAAAAGGGCTGCCCTCAGAGACAAGCCCAAGCTGAAGAGTCATGGAGATTGGCCCACTATTATTCTGTTCACTAGGGGTTCCTACAAAGTTGAGATGTTAGTGTCCACCACAGTGGTTCATCTAAAGAGACCCAATGTATTCTTATGGGGAAAATACCAGCTGTGACAGCTCTAGCGCTAGGAAAGGCCCATTGGTCTAATGTGGAGACCCCAGGGCCACATCTATATGCAAATCAGGCACTACTAGCTAAGTCAGAAGAAAATTCATGTTTCTGGTGAAGCGAAGCAGAGATGCCTGAGCCACCAGGATGTCTATGCTCTTTGCCTTGAGCTCTAGTGGTAATGGGGTGTAGGAGGTGGTGGGAGATGTGCAGTGAAGAATAGGATGAGACTCCTGCATAGCAGGAGCCAATGATCAGGAGGGGTGAGGGCTAGCATCGTTCCAGGCTCTATCGCCTTCCTTCCCAAGGCCCTGGAGGTTCCATAATTCAACTCTCGAATGGATGGAAGATGGAATTCTAGCACCTTTTATGCCCAAGGGCAGAAACACTTTCTTCCCCTTGGCCTTCTTCTCTCTTCTCACCCTTTTCCATACTTTCCACTCTTGTACAGAGAGGAGGAGGCTTTTCCCAGATGCACTTTTTGTCTTTCATCTAGCAGGGTAAGATCCAGACAGAGGTTCTCTGAGAGTGACCACAAGCAAGTTTTTCTGGGTTTGAGCATGGAAAACGCCTGCATCCCAGGAAAACCCTAAGTCCTTGACCAGTTGGCTCTGCTGGTCACTTGCCTGTGTCTGGCTCCTGTCTGTGCCTCAGAGCCAGGCTTTGGTCCTGCAAGTGCAGAAGTCACATCAGGATCCATCTTTCAGTCCCAGCAAAGAGCTCTACGTATTTAAGTCAGCACAGGCCAAGCCTAGTGAGAGCATCTATGGTGCATTTTTCACTCCCTGACCAGGAGTAGGAGCTCAGGAGACACAGAGCTGCCCGATCTACTTGAGCATGCCAATCTTCTGAGCTCTGGGTGATTGGAGGCACAGGTGGTAATGGGTGGGTGCAGAAGAGATGGTGCGGGAGGAGGCATGGCGTCCTGACTGCTGAACGTGTGTGCAGTAGTGTGTTGGCAAATGCTCATCAGTTGGCTCCCAGGGCCCTGGATTGTAGCATTTGCCAATTTATTTGGTGTAAACACTTCCATGGTTGGTTTTCAGCCAGCAGTGTAATTCCACTGAATGCTGCATCAGGAGGCTCACAACTGGTTTCCAGTTCAATGCAAGCTGGTGCTTGAACCCAGCATGTAGCTAACCATGCCCACTGAGTGACACGGCCAACCCTATATAGCACACCAAAGATGGAGGCTCACACTGTGTTATGGTCAGGTTGACACATTTGGGTTGTCCTTGAATGCTGTGTGGTGGAACCAGAACCTCACTTCCTCTCTGTCATCTTGAGCACTTTAGGCGAGATTTTCCCAGAAGCAGAAGGTTTGAGTGATGGGCGTTAGTTATGAGGAAATGAACAGATCTAAGTGTGAATGGTATGGGATGACTTCTGTAGCAAGCTGAAGCTGCATTGGGTCCAAGTTCTTTTGTACAAATAATAGGAAAGGAGGGAAATTGAATGATATTCACTGAAGAAACAAAATGGAAAAGGAGTGCAATTACTGTTCTTTACCACTAGAAAACATTATTTATTGGGTATAACCTAGAATCAATTATTAAATGTCCCTTATGGATAAAGTATAACTTGTAGTCAACTGCAAAGAGGGCTGTTCATTTTACTTAGTGATAAATCCACTGGTGTTTGACCAATTTGATGAAGACAGTAAGTCAAACTTAAATGGCCTGGCATGTGGTGTTGCTCAAACTACAAATCTTATTAAGGAGCTTTTTATATTTAAAATATGCAAAATGCAAACAAAATTTAGTAGAGAAAGTAAAATTAAATATTTAATGACACAATTAAGTCTTATTAATGGTATGTTCTTTATTTTGCAGATTAAATATTCACAACGATTATCATCTCTTTCATCTTTATTACTTAAGTGATGTGTTTTTCTTAATTATTTGTTAGGTATTTTCATTAACATTTGATGAATATTAATAGTTAAAATAAAAAACAGTTTTTATTTCTCTTGCAATGACTTCATGGTGATAATATATGTGTTTATAATGTGCCCTACTTGTTAATATTTAGATCACCGATTTTGTTGTCACATAATGGAAATGTGGATCTTTATGGGTGACAAATGACAATCATCAGATTCTTCCATTATTCTTTCTTTCTTTCTTTATTTAATCTACTATTTTCATATAGCTTCATTGTGGGAGAAATGTGAATTGAAAACTTACAACTAAAACTAGTAAGTCATATTTTAAGCTTAATTCCTGCTCCTGTGTTAATAGTGGCTCGCATATGCTCTTGATATCCTCATTCATTTCCCATTTTTACTTCCTTCACCTTGGAGTTTTGGCCCATCAGAATTATACTCCCCTGGTATAATTATTCCTGGTATTATTCTTCTATGACATGTAAAGTTTAGGCTGATGGCTGCACAGATATTTTTCGTTCTGGGACAAAGGATCAGAGTTTTCCCTCCTGGACAATATGAAGCAAATGCTCAAGGCTCTCCTAATTTTCCAGTTGGCCAGTGACTCACAAGAGTACATGGGAATGGGTCCAATGGACACAGGCCAAGGATGTGGGTTGCATGTGGTGACCATCTCTCCCTGGGCCAAGTGTGGCTGCCACGTTGCCTTCAGCAATACCCTGGAAAGACTGCCACCCTCACTGCAGGCTGCTGGCTGCTGCCAAGGTTTGCAAGTTGAAGTGATGTCTGTCAGGAAGATGAGGGTGATGTATTCTAGTCTCATAGTCAGGCCCACAATCGCACTTCAAAGCAGCCTCTGCATCCTGCTCAGCACTCTTTGATGGATGTGGGTGCAAGCATTAGAGTTCAGACAGAGACAGTGCTAATCAGAACAGGATGCCCTTTGGCTTTCTCTTGGGAAAACTTTTTCCCTTCCGCAGGAGCTATTTGCATTTTTAAAGCCACAGCCTGTTCAAAAGAGCACTGAGACACAAGAACGTATAGCAAGATAAAGAGAGTTCCTAGACATTAGTAATCTACAGAAGCATCTCCGTTTCCAAGCAGCTATAATGTATTGAGGAGCTACCATGTTGGGCCTTTCCAGTTTGCTTTCTGAATCTCACAAAGCCCCTGCTGAGGGGGTGGGGTTGTCTAGGTTATGGACGTGCAGATGGAAGCTGTGAGTCAGCCATGGCTGAGTGTCTCTGGGCTAGTGAGGGCATGGCTGGGACTCCAAACTAGGTCTTCCAGCTCAAAGTCCTGTGCACTTCTCATCACAGCTTGATACTACCCCTTTGCTGCCACTTTTTAATGTGGCTGTATAGGACACAGGCTACGGATATATGTCATTGTTATGAAAAGTCCAAATATGCACGAAAACAAGCCAGGTGTGGTGTTGCATGCCTGTAATCCCAGAGGATTGCTCTGAGTTGGAGGCCAGCCTGGGCCACATAGTGAGTTCAAGGCCAGCCTGAGCTATATAGCGAGATGTTGCCTCAAAAACAAAACAAAGTGAAACAAAACAAAAATATGCACAAAAGCACAGAAAACAGTGCAAGTTCCACCTTGTTCATGAAGTAAGGGCTAGAAATTGGGGTGTGGGAAGATACCCCTGAGCTGTCCCTGACACTGGCATGCCTGCTGTCTGTGCCAACTCTTTGGCCCTGGACTGGAAAATGTATTCACTCTGGATCTTTATGTGTTTGTCCCTCTAGTCAAGCTGTCCTGAGATGGAGCCAGCCTGAAGAGTAACCGCTGGACTCTAAAAGCAGCTGACCCAGAGTAGCCAAAGCTTAAACCACTTGTGCTACATGACTTCCCAGCTCTGGTCATGTCCAGGAACAACAGCTGCCCTCACTGCAGATGGGTAAGGGGTGCTGAGAGAGCAGATGAAGAAGGTCAAATCAGAGTTGGTCCACACCATACCTTGGGGAGCCCCCTGGCTGGGCAATGGCAAGACAGCACCTTCAACACGGCCAAGGCAAACAGACCTCAGTTTCCCCCTTCTTGTTTTCAGCCCATCAAGGAAAAATACGTTAGCTCACAAGTGCAAACGCAGACTCTCAAACCCTGCAAACTGCATGCAGTGGTGACCACACACAGTGACGTCAGCTGCCCGAGCCCTGTCTGTAGCATCTCTCCTTGTCGAGATGGCAAAGTGACCATTGTTTATTACCTACTGAGCCCAAGCTCCGTATTTGGCTCTTCATGCAAGATTGATAGATTCTTCCTGTCACCGGCCTCACTCTGGTGGCAGCTCTCCAGCCCTCCTCTGTGCTCCCTCCCCTCCTCCTCTGTGCTCCCTCCCCTCCTCCTCCACCTTCTAACAACTCAGGGCTAGAACCGGCCTCCCCAGTTTCCCTGCTGCCACTGCAGTCCTTTTTGAAGAAGCCATTTCCGAGAGAGGATGGAGCTGATGACAGATGCCCAGCCGGCCACCATGCTCAGGAATCTGTGGGCTGTGAATCATCTTGGCCAGGACAGCTGCTGACAGCACATGGGGCCTTTCTGGAATCATCTCCCTCTCCACCTGCCCTGGCTCCCTGTGTCCTTGGAGAAGAGAGGCAGTGAGATCGGAGGCTGGAGGCTGGGCACACACCATGTGTGGCTGGGAAAAGAAAAGCCTGGACATAAGGCACAGTTATCCTGCCTGGGCCTGGGGGGAATCTGACTTGGAGTGTGGGATGGAGGTAATGCAGAGCTGGAACCATTTTCATTCTGTGTCCTAAAGCAAGTCGCTAAAGCTTCATGGAAGACTCGATCTTGTGCTGGTCCTATAGAATTAAGTATTGTAGCTTCAAATAAGGAAGGATGCTTTTGAAAGTTGGAAGACAGCAAGGCAGAGGGGCAGTGTCCAGTCACTGAGGCCTTGCTCTAGTGAGGGGTAATTCCTCACAGATAGCACCTTCTGTATGTCTCTCATGCCTAAAGGGGTGAATGAGCTTCCTTAGGTCTCTTTTATGAAGGTGCTAGTCCCATCCTTGAAGGAGTCACTCTCAAGAACTGATCATCCAAAGGCCCCACCTTGATGCTATTGCCGTGAGAATGAGTTAGCAACATGAGTGTCCCAGTCATGGGTCCAACTAACCTCTTGACCTCAGGCATTGTGTCCTTGAAGTCATGCTGACCTTACCTGACTAGGGAGTGTCTGTTTCACTAACTCAACCAAAGATGGAGAGGTCTCCAAGCTACACTTAGAGGTTAAGTGCCTGATGCTGCAGAGAAGGGACATATGGCAGGTGTGCCGGGCACCCTGTGGTCTGATGTCTTAGAGTTAATGGCTCCAGTCTTGACCTGGACCCAGGAAGCTCCTGGTTCAGTAGAACTATATGGTGGTTTTTCTAACAATGCCAAATTAATTCTCAGATTCTCCAACACCATCCGGGTGTCCTATGATTCAACTCAACTCTGGCACTAACTGACTGGAATTAGCCCAGCCCCTTCCCCCCACATCTGGCCTCACTTCAGGTGCAGGCTAGGAACAGGGTCTCTAAGTGCTGTAATCTGGGTTCCCCCAAATTTGTATGTTGCTAACTCATTCTCATGGCAATACTATTAAGGGGTGAGGCCTTTGGATGATCAGTTCCTGAGAGTGGCTCCTACAAGGATGGGACTAGCACCTTCGTAAAAGAGGCCCAAGGAAGCTCATTCACCCCTTTAGGCATGAGAGACATACAGAAGGTGCTCTCTGTGAGGAATGATGCTTCACTAGACATGGGATTTGCTAGTGCCTATGTCTTGGACTTTCTGGCCACTAGAACAGTTAGCCATAAGTTTCTAAGGGATTTTGTTATAGCTCTCCTAACAGGCAAGCCATCAGTGATTAAATCGTTGTCATGGCTGATGGAGCTCTACCCCCAGCCCCTCCTTCTCCTCTGGAAATAGGATGAGGGATGGTGGGATTGAATCCATCCCCCTAATCACTTGACCTTTCTCTGGCACCCCTCAGTGAGACGTGTCAGGAGTTTAAACTTAAGTGTCTCTAAAGGGGGTTATGATGAATAACCGAAGGCAATCTTTTCACTTAGGAAATTCCAAGGGGTTTAGGAGCTCTGTGCCTGGAATTGAGGACAAAGATCTAATATATATACAGATATATTAGATTGCAGGTGGACAGAAATGCTACAGAGAGCACATCTGCTAGCTGGGGAGGCTGTAAGAGGGGAGGAGCTTGTGGTCTAGACCCCTTCTAGAGGGAGCCTTCTAGGTCAAGGTTCACTATTGCTGTAGCCTTGTGCTGCAGTCTGAACCCTTGACCAGGTTACCCACACTTCGGAGCCTCAGTCATGCCATCCATGAATGGCTCTGATAACCGCAATTCTTCCAGGTTATTGGGGAATATAATGAGACCCTGCACATCCTGATCCTGCACACTATGCTTTGCATATACCACGCATTCGATGAACCTAAGCAATTCTTGGATGATCAGGGTCATGATCATGACTAAGGAAAACCTCAGGGGAACATGAGCAAGGCTGAAGCCTCGGCTGTGTAATTGGCTCTGATTCTCTTGTTCTCCACCTACACCAGGCAATGGGCTCCTGGACAACTGCTCAGTGGTCCATGAGCCTCCTTCATGCTGAGGGGACAGCAGGGCTCTCCTTCCAGTCTGAGGGTCTTGGAGGCCTGTGAATTTTGCCTGTGTTGGGTGGCATGGGGTGCAGATCTGACAGTGCCCCTTATTAGAAAAAGGTCAGCTTTGAAACAACTACCATAAGATAAACCAAAATATTTTTGAAACAAAATCAAAACATCTAATCAAAACATGAGAGAGAGGGCTATGTTTTTGTGACCAAGTCTTTCAATTTTTGATGTTTATGCTCCAAGTAGGGGCAAGAGAGGCTGGTGTTTTGGGGTCCCAGATGCCTTAGAGGAAGGTGTGAGGATCCTCAAGGGGGGCAGTGGTTGCTCTTTGGGAGCTCAATGATCATAGGGCTGGGGAATGGTTTTGGGATTGCAGCCAGCTGGTCACTATGGGCTGAGCCAAAGATAAGCCCAGTGTAAGGAACAGGCTTGCACCCCAATGAATATTAGCTCTCTGAGCTATACCTGCCACTAATACCTCACCAGGGAAGGCAGTAGTGTACAGCGACTGAACATTTCGTATCAACTGTTCCTTTCTGCATACCTAATACTCCAGTGGGATCTTCCCTGCCCTGCAAAAAAAAAAAAAAAAGTGTCCAATGCCCAACGTTGGAGCCTCATGTGGGTCCGGTCTGTCACTCACATCTCCAAAACCTTGTGGGTGCTTCTCTGTCTTCCCAGGTTTGGAGAGGCAGGGATACAGCTCCTTGGACCTTGTGACTGACACTGCCGACCCTCAGGGCAGGCCTGGGACAAACATGGCCACAGCACAGCTGCTGCCCTTCACTCTGAGTGGGCCCCACAGGAGCCAGTGCCAGGCTGCTGGATTTTTAGCTCGTCTCCTGCTGTCACCGCTCAGTTAAAGGACAAGAGGGAGACTGCTAAGGAAACGTGGCAGCTTGGGACCTTGCGGTGTCGTTTGTAGTCTCCTTGGCCTGCAGCCTCCTGGAGATGCACACGAGGGCTCTCAACCGCGGAGAAAATGAGATGCCCTCTCATGCGCACAGCTGTGGAGACAGCTCCTCTTTCCTCCCTTCTGGAACTTCTGGGAAGCCAACGCTCACATTAGTGTCTCCCTTTGGGGTTCAGAATAATGGAAGCCAAGGATCTGCCACACACCAACTGGAAGTACCAACCCCAAGGGTCACCACAGGGGACCCATGCCTGCAAGGCTGTTCCAGCCATCAGGGTCTCGCAGAGAGTCACCCCTGAAAGAAAAGGGAGGGTTCCTACAAGGATATGGTGTATTTCTCATAAGCACAGGAGGTTCAGAGGACAAGTCTAAAGTTGGGGTAGGTTAACGCCATCTAGCAAAGATTCATCACCATCCAGGAAGTGTCTGCCGGGCTCTGTGCTAGATGAAATGAAGCCAGAACCCAAGACAGACCCTGACAGAGAACAAGTATGTTAGGCACATTTGTCCTCAGACTTCAATGCACAAACAGCTCTGTCTGAGCTTCCTAGGACAGATTCCTAGGCCTGCCTGGAGGGTCAGAGCCACTTGTAACCCACACCCTCATGGTGTGGTCCATCCTGTGGGAACTGCTGGACTAGGGTGACCTTGGGGCCCAGCTTGGGGCCTGAAGCCATGAGAAGGAGGCTTGGGGAGGGTTCTGGGCACCAGTTACAGAGCGAGTGGACCTTAGATCTTGAAGATGAGGTGGAATGAGGAGTGGAGTGGAGAATGGGCTGGATGTCCCAGGCAAAGCCCCACAGGCTCAAGGAAACTGAGAGGAGATCCCCTGAGAGTCAAGGATGTGTTCATGGGATGTGGCTGAGCCTCAGTCCTGTGCTTGGGATTTATTGCATTGCAGTCACCATTTTGAAATCCTTAATATTATCTTTGGCTTTGTGCTTGGAGTTTTGTAATTCACTTTAAAAAAATAATTTCATTGGTATATTTTATATATACACAATAACATTCGTCATATGGAATTTGTACCTGTACATGATCTTAATTCTTCTTTATCCTCCCTCTTTCCTCCCCTTTCTTCAACCCCTCTCCCTGTCCTTATTTACAAAAAACTTTGTTTCCACTTTTCCTTCTATTCTCGTTTGCAATTTCACTTTGCACTGGGCCTTATCACTTATGGACTCAGCCCGGATGAGTACAGGGAGCTACAGAAATATCAGATGTTGTTAGGGTTCGAGGCAGGAGGTAGGAGTGTTGCAGGTGACCAGAGAGATAAACAATGGCTATGCTCCTGAGGTCTCCAAATGCTACCTCTAGGAGTTGGCGGTTTTGTATCAGAAAGGAAAGGATTTAGAAGTGAACGGAGTAGTTAGCTTTGCACTCCACAGAGCCATTCTGAGAGCTGGGTTTCTCTCCGCACAGGGTACTGAGGGCTAGGAGTCTATGAGGACCAAGCTTGGATCCCAGTAGGTCAGTGCAGAAGGGGTGGCCTGGAAAGACACTTGGAGATGGTTTGGAGTTGGAGGTAAGGTTGAAGGGGGAGAGAAGTCCAGAATTACTCCCAGAATTCTGGCCTGGGCAATCAAGTTGCTGGTGGAGCCACTAACTGAGTTACCTCTTTTTTTTCTTTTCCTTTTATCTGCCATGGTGCGTATTCTATGAACATGTCAACATTGTTCATATTTGTCAACGAAAGTCTTTTTCTCTCAGCCTTGTTTCTATCCTACTTGTATTAAGTCTTGCCTAAATAGTTCTACAGCTGTTTTAAAGGCAGAGATCATGAAATTATAATGCTCATTTGAAAACTACATTTGTTTAGTAGTATATTTTAAAATCTTTTTCTTCTAATTAAAGAAATGAAGAAAGCTTGTACAACATGGAAAAACAAGACAAGAATCACTTGGATTCCTACCAAAGGAACTGTGATTAACATTTTAGTATATAACCCTCAGTCTTTTTTCCACATGTACATGTATATTTCTCATTTATTAAAAATAAAAAACATTATACCATTTTTATGATATATATTTTTCACTTAGTGATCTAGAATAAACATTTACCATAAGAATAAATGTTCTATAGCATATTTTTTAATGACGGTCTAGATGGGATTCCTCCATACAAATGTATCATAATTCACCTAGGCCTTTTCCTATCGTAGGACCGGTAGGTTGTCTGTAATTTGTCATATTGTAAACAATGTCATGATTAACATACTCATTAATATACTTAATTAACTTTATAAAACAAATTCCTAGAGTGAAAAGAAGATATAAATACACATATTTTAATATTTGCTTTCTTTGGGCTGGGGATTTAGCTCAGTGATGCCGCTGCCTGCCTCGTAAGTGCAAGGTCCTGAGTTCAATCCCTGGTACCAAAAAAAAATACTTGCTTTTTTTTCTGGAGACAGGGTCATGCTACGTGGTTCAGGCTGGCCTTGAACTCACTGTGTAACCCAGGGTGGCCTTGAACACTCAGTGATCTTCCTGTCTCAGCCTCTTGAGTGCTGCAATTACAGCTGTGCACCACCATGCCTGGCTACATATTTTAATTTTTGATTGGTAATTCTAAATTGCCTCTAGATAAGTTGCACGAACTTCACATGCACTAGTGCAATTTTTTTTTTTTTTTTCTGGTACTGGGGATCGAACTCAGGTCCTTGTGCTTGCCCAGCAGGTGGCGAAACCACTGAGCTAAATCCCCGGCACAAACTTTTGAAATTATGATTTAGTGACAAACAATTATTTCTATTTTGTCATTTGTGGAAATTAAGGCAGAAACCAGTATCAAAGTGAGGGTTGCACATCAAGTCCATGGGAAGGTTATCTTGATATATAGGTCAGGTATACATCATTATGTGTGCTCTACATATTTACATAATCTCATTGAATTTTCTCAACTACCCTGAACGAGTTCTTTTTCAGATAAGAAAAGTGGGGCGCAGAACCTTACTTTACTATCCCATGTCATTCCGGTGACCACAGGCCCAGCCCGGCTACCCACCCTCTACGGAGTCAGACCCCTCATATGTAACCCAGTCTTCCCAACACCAGGCAAACCAAACCCTGCAGAAACAAATGGTCAGATTTAAATAAGTCGATGATCTAAACATTCTTTTTCAATAAACACAGTGTACAAGATCTTGCCCCTGGGGTTTACTTCCTAGGTAAAAATAGCTTTATGGTTGTGTACTACTCTTTCCTTGGGGGGTAGGCTTAGGGAAAGGATGGGGTTGGGGATGGGGACAATGACTTCCTCAGAGGATGGGGCAAGGTGTAAAAGTATCCCTTCCAGGTCAAGATTGGCAGCCTCATCTCTGATTCAATACTCAGGGATTTGCTTTGGTTTCCTGACTGGACTGCCTTGTTTATCAGCCACAGGGCAGGAGACGTGCCACAGCAATGAAGTACAGTTGACATGTCACACTGGGGAAAGGGGAGCTATTCACCAGGCTGAGTCACTGCTCAGCTACAGGTACAGGATGATGCATGCCGTAGAAATTCAGAGCAGACTACCAGACTGTGGGGCTGAGCCACAAAGAGAAACAGGTCTGAGGATGACCTAACACTTATGATTTTGAAACTCCTGGACTGTGAAAAAGGAGAATGGAAAAGTCTCAGGTAGATCTAAGTTCATGCTTCCTTTGCAACAAAAATCAGCTCCAAAGTTGCATACAGGGGAGACACTTCACTAACAAAATAGTGGCAGAGGTGACAGTTACTGCAGGAAGCAGTACATTTGGTGGCATCTGAGTTCTATATTTTCCTGTTTCCTTCTCCATCAGAGAAGGAAATTGTTGTCCTTGGTCCACTTATTCTTTGCAAAGACTAAGTGCCAACCTGGCAGGCACAACGATGAGATGGGACAACAGAACTCATCCTGCCTAGTCCGAGAAGAAAGGGAACTTGCTTTTTTTGTCAATGCACCAGCAAGTCCCCTGCAGAGTGGTTCCACTAGGGACTAGCTGTGTGACCTCACTAGCAGGTTCATCGCTCTGTGCCTTAGTTTCCTCTCCTGTAAAATTGGGGCAATAACAGGTGCTTATAAAGTAATACAAAGCGGGGCCATTGGCCACTTGGCCTACACCAAAGATCCAGAAACCTTGGCACCATAGTCCTGCTTACTCACTCCCACTACTGTTTCCTTTGCTGCCTCCCAAAGCTCAGCTGCCCAGTGCCCTGCCTTGGTGGTAGAGCTTTGGGGTGGGCATCAGAGGTTATGGCTTAGTTCAGTTGTTCTGTATGATATACCTGTCACATGATCTGAATGCTAATGATGGCAACAGCTGTGACAGCAAACTGTTATAGTTCTTATTTTGTGCTTGGTGTTTTCTCGCCATGTAATCCTCATAGTAACTTACTGCCATATGTAATATTATTCTCCTCACATTATAGGTGAAAAAAGTGAGACTTCGGAGGTTGCATACTTTCCCCAAGGTCTTACAGATTATAAGCATGAGGCTGGAAGCCCATGATCCTGACCTTTGCTCTGTGTGAAATTTCCCAAGTTGATTTTTCTGTCCATGAGTACCTTTTTATTTACCAGTGCTAGTAAAGGACATTGTTTTTGTTGTCGAGTGCCCTTTTTTGAGGGGAGGGGATATCCTTCTCATACCCCACAATTTCTCTTGGGACTATGGATGAAAGGGCCTTTGTCCTGAATCTTCCAATCTCCCCACCACAGAGGCTGGCTCAAGAGGAGAGCAGTCAGTCAGAGTCCTCTCAGGTACATGTGTGTACAGTGTGAGAATTTTCCTCCTGAAGTTGCATGGCTGGGGCTAATGGGGGCTGTATAGTAGGCAAGGCCTTTCTACAGCACAGTGAACACTCCAGATAAAACCAGAAAATTAGAAATAAAATGTGGGTGGAGAATAATTTATGGCCACCTATAACCCCTAGTTCCAGTGTGGAGGTCCTGGTTCTATTAGTTCCTTCCTCAACTCCGTGAGCAGCCCAGTACTTTCAGCTCCTTAGGTCCCCAGACTTGTGCTTTTGAAAGCAAGTCTGAGTTGTCTTCCCTGACTGCCATCTAAGAAGTCTAATCAGTACAGTAGCACAGAGAAGTGGC